TATAAGAGAAGAAACATACCTCTTTCAAGCTTTATCCAAAGCTTCAACTTCAGCAAGTTCAGTAATTACTTTTCGGTACTGCCGCAACTCGTTTCTTTTTCTTAAGATTTGAGTTTCAATCTCCTTCAACCTCTTCGCTGTATCCTCATAGGTCTTTGCACAGAGTGCTCAATCATATCGTGTGCACTAAAATATACTGTCATTAAACTATAATGATATAAATACGACTCACATGCATTTTCTTTTTCTTATATACAAGAAGAGAACGAACATTGCGGTTTTGTAAATCGATACCCCATATACAACAAAAGACACTAAACATAATTTTAAGAAAGATAAAGGTGTATGATGAAAAACAAATTAGGTTACTATTTTATTAATTTTACATATCCAAGTATAAAAACTTTGCAAACCTATCCAACAAAAAACTAATGAAGAGACAGCGATCAGAAATGCATGACAGTAGATGCAAACCGGAGCAACTTATCCAAAGCATTCGGCGAAAACTTGCGAGCAAAGAGAAAGCAAAGTATCGTCTTATTCACTCCATTGTGTTCACAATAATCCTTGTCACTCCTTAGCCACTCCAAGAATTCCACATTCACCTGCGACTCACCAAACGAACTCGGGTGGGCCCTACGCTTGACCCACTCGGTCCACGTCAGCGTCCGGTTTGAGTTACGCAACCCGAGGCTCGGCCTCAAGTTGAGTAGCGTCGGGATGTAGTGCTCGTCAGGGCAGCGGGAGTAAGCGTTGAAGATGGGCCAGTAGAATGTGTCGGACACTACCTCGAGGGCCATGGCTCGGTCTAGCTCGAACCACTGAGAACCTTTGCGCCATTGGTGTAGGTGAATGTGGGGATACATACGGCGGGCGTAGCGGACGCGACCTATGGGGAGGTCGTAAGAGTCGACGTGGGTTTGATTTGAGTTAGTGAGGTAAGAGTAAATAGTAGTGAAGTTGAAGAGAGGGATGCATGATTCAGAGAGAAGTACGAATCGTTCGTTGTTGATGTCTAATAATGCGTTTGCTAGTAACCTTCGTTCTGCTTCTACCATGTTTGCGTTTCCCCAATCCACTTTCTGTGTTTATAAAATATTAATGACGTTAGATTGTGACTCATTAGTTACTTCTGACGGGGTTTTTTTTGGTTCTCTTTGATTTGATAGACACATATAAACTAAATTTCCCCTCAATATGAACCAAAATATTTATCGCCATTAGGATATAGATGTTACGAGAGAAAAGATTTCACGTATCCTTACGTTGAATTGAATGATTTTAATAGTTGCAAAATTATTCTGCATCAATTATATACATTGTGTTTTAGTGTGTATATCAGACGAATTTCACATTATTGGCATAAAAGATCATAACATAATGATTGTGATATTTTCTTAACC